TTACCATGCTGCAAGAAGAAATTGGAAGAACAAGCTTGGTGGTGTGCAAAGGGGACCCCCCATCTGAGATTTCAAATATTGTTGTACCTACAAAAATCAAAAGGTGTTTCTTGTTCTTGCTTGCTACTACTAGTAGTAGTACTCCAGGGCCACTACTCTAGTACTAGTTACTTTCTCCCTCTTGTTRCAAAATCAGGAGGAATTAATATACTAGTAACCATAAATATTATTATTCATTCAAAATCAATTTACTACATCTCCTGACAATTGAAGCTGTATGAGTGTTGTTTACTACACACTTTGGCACCACTGCACTTTCTGCAACCACCATTCCTTGGCATCTCCATAATCATCCCTGATATTCCCTTACTTCCTTCATGAATCAATCAGGATACTTTTCTTTTACTTCTAAACAGACAACACAGCATTTATTTTTCTTTCCTCTGTACTTTCCACTACTACATCTCTTGTTTCTTGCAATTGGCTTCAAAGTTACCTTTTTACTACCTACTGCTATGAGCCACCATGGTGCTGGTTCTGATTCTGTTATCGCCATAATGGTGAGCATATTGTCTAGTAACAAAATCAAACCCATTCTTGTTCAGCATGGTTGTGTTCCTTCTGAAAAAGGGAACATATTAAATACCACACCAAACATCAGGACCAGTTGCCCAAAAAAATGATGATTGTTTAGAACTTCAACCTTCAAATTGATGCTGCATATAGCAAGGTAGGTCAAGAGATAAAGACAACTGAAGTTCCCTTGATGGAATTTCACTGACTTCACTAGAAGATKCTTCCTCCTTTGCTTGGTGTAACCACCAGTACTATTATCACAGAACTTGAGGATTCAACGGCATATTGGTACCAATTGGACTCATTTCTTGCTAGTATCAGTCAAAAGATTCTTTGGCAAAAAAGAACAAGAACAAAATAGCCAGCTCTTTCACCTTACTGTTAGTGTAAGAAGCATCCAATCATGCATCCCTACAAAATGCACATGCTCAGTAGTACTACTAGCACCACTAGTACATACCAGTACACTGTGTTGAATTCTCAATTTTGAATCCTGCAACCAAATAGTTTTGCTTCTTGCACGTGCTGTTGCTCTAGCCCTAGTACAACACAAACTTTACCATGCAAAGCTACCAGGTCTGGGGTTTGAATCTACTAACTGGGGAAGCAAAGCTCAAAACTCCCACCAGTCCAGGTCTGGGGGGTGAGTCAAACAGACAACAGACAAAGCAACGTACAAAGCTCCCAGGTCTGGGCTTTTAACCAAGAAACAGATGAAGCGACATGCAATGCTAACAGGTCTGGGGGACGAGTCGAACGGACAATGGACAAAGCAACACACAAAGCTCCCAGATCTGGGGTTTGAATCAAGTACTAAACAGACAAAGCAACACACAAAGCTCCCAGGTCCAGGGTTTGAATTGAACATACAAAGTGATAGAAAGATACTTAGTGGAGCTACCAAGTAGTAAAAAAGAGAAGGCAAAGACAACAGCAACAACAGAAGCTCCTCTGGTGTTCTACTACTGCTCAAACAAATGGATTATAACAAAACAAAAATACAACAAGAAGCCACCATCTTGGTTGACAAAAACCAAAAGTTAGAAAAAAGCAACTTCACAGACAAAAACACAGACAAAACCATCATACCAGAAGAAAGAACCACCAGTTCTACTTGAAAGCCCCACCAGAAGAAAAAACCTAATGATCACCAACAAAAAGTTCCAAGAAGTCAACAATGGTAGTGGTACTACTAATACTAGTACTACTATTACTACTGCTAGTAAGAAGGAACAAGGAGATTAAACAACCACTCATCAACCTTGTCACATCAATATCATACAAAGGAATATAAATTTTTAAACTAGCTACTGTTAATACTAGTACTAGTACTTGTACTTTGTTGTAGGGACAGGAGTGGTACTATATGAGGGGTTCTTAAATGCTCCTGGTGGGGAAAACGACTACTACTAGTAGTAGTACTATTAGTACTACTAGTACTACTCCTACTCCAACTACTACTAATAATAAGAACATAATTGCTGCTCCTCTAGGCTACTACTAGTATTACCACCACCAGCAGCAGTGTCTCTTCCACTCCAACAACTAGTTCCACAAGAGCAAKGTTTTAGACAGCATTTATAAACGGCAGGGGGTTGGTCGAAGTCAGCAAGAAAAGAAGCTATCTTGTGATGCAAGGGTGGTCTAGTTGGTTATGACGCGGCTTTAACACAGCTGAGGTCGGGGGTTCGATTCCCTCCCCCTGTATCTTTTTCGATTTGCACATACTTTTTCCCCCGCAAGCCAGCAAGTAGATTTCCATCGATTTTTGGTCCTCGGATCCAAAGCAACGTATCCAAAACAGGCGGATGGAGAACCAAGTACCGTACCGTACGTAGTAGAAGTACAAAACACTCGAAAAGAATCTGCGCATCCAGTCCAAGACAAACCGACAAACAACACCCATACTCAAACACATACACATACACATACACATACACACCCACACGCATTGCGATGGCACCCGCAACGGCACGAACGGCGATTGCGCTGCTGTCCATCAGCAGCACGATTGGTTCGGCCACGGCGTTCGGCAACCCCGGATGCTTTTCCGTTGCTGCTGGTTCTGTGTCGTTCGGGTGGAAGACATTCTTTCCGCGAGCAACACCGGCAGGGTGGATGGGAGCGAGGACAGGGTCAGGGTCAAGGACGAGTGCCRTGCGCCCCGGACGCCGGGGTCGCAACCCCCACGGCGATCGGCAKCTGTTGTTCCCTTCGGATGGCGTTCACGCTTCTCCCACCGGTCTGGGAATGGCGGGCCAGGAGAACGACGTTCCGGTGGGAAGAACGGGGGACGGGGGCGATGTCAGTGATACAACCAGCAACAGCAACAGCAACAGCAACAGCAACAGCAACAGCAACAGAGACTACGGGAAGGGGCTGCTGGTCCTCGCGACTGTTCCGATGGCCTGGGGAACCTTCGAACCGGCCGTGAGGCTGGTCTACAGGTACGAGCCGTCGAYGCCGCCGCTCGTCTTTTCCTTTGCCTACTATTTCGTAGCGGCCTCGGTGCTAGCRATTGCTGCGGCGRTGGGCTCGGGATCGGGAGGCGCGGTKTCCCCGCGAGCCAAAACCAATGCCGGACCAACCGGGTCCTGGTCMGCGGGACCGCCCCCGTCCGTCCGCGGGGGGATCGAGCTGGGCACCTACCTGTTTGTGGGGAACGCGCTCCAGGTGGTTGGGCTGAAAACGGTCCCGTCCGACCGGGCCGCCTTTTTGCTGCAGCTGACGACGGTCTTTGTGCCCCTGCTCAAGAGCATCACGGTGGCCGTTCCACCTTTGTTGTCGTTCTTGTCGCCGTCGCCGTCGCCGTCGCCGTCGTCCTCCGATGCATCCACCCACTCTGTTTCTTCCGGATCGGCCGGGGTTTCGCTCCAGACGTGGATAGCTTGCCTCTTGGCCCTCGCGGGGGTTGCCCTCCTCGGGCTCGACGGGAGCGGCACCGAAGCCGTCGCAGCCGGCACCCGCTTCCCTTCCCCCGACGCCCTGCGATCGGCCTTTTCGGAAGACGACGGGTGCATCGTCCTGGCCGCGGTGTGCTACACTTTCCACTGCGTCCGGCTCGAAACCTACGCGAGGTCGGCCGTGTCGGCGATCGGCCTGGCCACCGCCAAGGCCACCACGGAGCTCTTCTGGAGCGGCGCCTCGGTCGCGGCCTGCCTCGGCCTCGCCGTTGCGGCCGGAGACGGGGGCCTTCCGCCCGAGACCGCTGCGGCGGCGGCTTCGCTCCTGGGCGGCCCGGTGGACGCGGGGGAGCGCATGCGGTCCTACGGCTTCGGTGGAGCAGCCGGCGGGCACTGGCCCGCGGTGGCGGGGGCCACCGCCTGGGTCGGTGCGGTCACCGTTGCCTACACGATCTACGCCCAGACGTACGGCCAGTCCAGGGTGGCGGCGGTGGCGGCTAACCTCGTCTACACCAGCCAGCCCGTCTTTACGGCCCTGGTGGCCTACCTGGTTCTGGGGGAGACCCCCGGAGCGAACGGATGCGCCGGTGGGGGGCTGATCGGGGCGGCCGTTCTGTTGGTCATCGCGGGGGAAGGAGGAGGAGGAGGAGAACAACAACAACAAGAACAACGACCCCGGCAAATAGACAAGGACTGACCGACCGACTCTGCCACCGATCCACGATGGTCTCTTCTCCTTTCGTCTTGTGCAGGTGGCACCGTACCAGTTCAATTGAATGATGGCAACAATTGCGAACAAGTGAGACGTGTTTTTCGATTTCAGCTGGATGCCCAAAAAATCGAAGAATAGTGTTGCGAGGATCGAGTCAGACGTGCATCTAGTTTTGTCTCGAAMGACGGAAAGTGTTGCCGCTAACACACGACTGAACGTTGTTCGATTCCAATGAAAAACTCKTCCGTTGGTCACGAATCGCCATCTCGCCAAGGCCCCCATCGATTTTCGCCGTCTTTCAAGACGAAGTCAAAAATTTGGTTTCGAAGAAAACCTGTTCTGTTTCTTCCTCACTTTTTCAAGGCAAGACCGGAGACCAAAAGGAAGAACCGGATRCAACGGTTCGTCTCTCGAGAACAAACCGCAAGTGGTAAGCTCTCGGCAACACCAGGAATCGACAATGGGCTGGAAACCACCACCGATGTTCGGTGGGGACAACCAAGAGAAGAGCGATCGGGAAGCACCACCGATGGCAATGGATGCCACCTGGAAGGCGTCGAAGGCCACGGCAATAGAGAAAACTGCTGGCGAAGGGTACAATCCTTCCGTGCTCGGGTCGTTTCCGCCCCCCGCGAGGAGGAAYAGCCTCGAATCGATTGCATGGAGGCCTCCCGCATCCTTTGCCACTATCGCAGAGGRGACGGAGGAGAGAGTCGACAACGACGACRACGACGACGAAGGRGAAGCCACGAAGCAAACCGCGGAGAAAGAAACGGGTGCAACAACAGAAATCGTTGCAAGAAAYCGAAGCGGGGAGAACAAATGTGGCATCGATCCAGGTCCGACACCAAMCGGCGTTGGCACGGTCGAAACCGAAGAWCGAAGTATCATCGGGAGACACGCCATGGATGGAAACGGCAAAAGAACGCGAACGCTTGCAGCCGAGGACTTTCGGCCGTTTTGGAACGATATTGCCCGCTACGTTGTATCAAAAGGASCCAAARCGGATGATGGTGCCATCACTACTCTGAAGGAACAACTACGCAGCGGCAACCACCGCAACACTCTCGGCAAACCGGAGGACGAGGAGATGATTTTGTTCGAGGCATTGACAGCAGCGATGGAAGAAGGGGGAGGAAARTTTTGTGGAATGGATCGAACGCAACTCCAAACACAAACRCAARCSCAAGCCCAAGCCCAAGCCCAAGCACCGTCAAACGAAAGAGAGCTATTTGCCCTCTGGGAGGGCGTCCGTCTAGCTGTTTGTGCAACCAACCGGCTCGCGGCATTTTTCTCGGAGATTTCCGCGCCACAGGCCGTGCCACCCCCGAAACGATTTCCTTCGATGCGGGCCATGTCCATTGCCCATGCGCGAAAACAGTGYGATGCTGTCCTTTCCTCAAACGATCGCCCTGCATCATCTAGACGAGAGAAAAAAGAAGCAAATCCTTCGACATCGTTAGCAGCATCTACAGCAGCAGCAGCAGTAGCAGCAGCAGCAGCAGCACCAGAGAGCCATCAACGCCGACTCGGATCTCTTCGGGCAATGTCTATAGCCCTTATCCACAGGGAACGTTGTGTTACGGTAGACGATGCCACAAATGCACCAACGGCCGCGATCGACCAGAACCAAATCGACGCGAAAGGAGACGCGAGCAAAATCAAGAAATTACTCGAAGAACTCGAAGAAGCGGAAAAGTACCAGCGTAGACTCGAGCAACAATTGCAGAAAGCGGGTGTAGTGATTGCCGAGGACATYCCGTACGATGTCGCGAAACAAAAAGTTTTCCAGATTGGACAGCGCATGGGCGAATTGCACAGCGGAGGGGACGGTGGAGACAATGGCAGAGAATACTTCAAACTCGAACAAGAAATGGAAAAATACATCGCGGCACTAGAATTAACGGAAGAGTGGATTGAAGAACAAGCCGAAGAMGAACGCAAATGGGAAGCGGCGATGGAAGAAGAGAACAATCTCGCTCTGAAAAGAGTACTGCGACACATGCCGGTAGATGTACGAAACCGAGGGGAACTCCAATTGCGTGCAAGTCCAACACCGAATGGAAGATACATTTCTCGGTCGATAKCACAAAAATTCAAACGAACCAATTGCCTTCAGTTGCTCAGGACGGACCCCAACGAGATGACCAGGTGGCATCCCGCAATGTTTGAAAACCTGCGGGTGACCGGATTGACACTTACCGAGCGCAGGGCTTTGCACCACCACCTGAAAACACTCGGATACCAMTGGAAAGAACAAAGCGGGGGAAGCGGAGACAAAATGACCGAACGAAAACTCGTGTGGTTCGAAACTCTGAAGACAAATTTTAGGGATTCCCTTCTGGCATACGAGCGACACATCAATAGGTACGGCCCACCCGAAAATCACAACTGTCCAATGATTGGACGTCAGTGCCCGCTAGAGGCCGACAAAACCATKGACTATTCTGGAGACTACGGTTACCCAGAAAATTCTGAATATTTCGAAGAAACCAACGACGATGTCTCAAAGTCGAACAGTGATGGTGGCACCGAGCCTACAGAGRAAAAAAAATCGATGCYTTGCTCTACTTCAATTTCCAGGGAAAATGCTCGGGGCGAGAAAGAAAGAGGCGCAGGAGTTGATCCAATACTATCTCATGGCCAGGACCTCCGACGAGAAGGAGAACTGAGCGAACTTCAAGGTCTCGACCGAGGCCGAGGCGGACGAGGCACGGGAAGAGGGGGATTAATAAATGAAATYCAAGGCCGAGGCCGAGGTGGACGAGGCATGGGGAGAGGGGGTTTGCTGAACGAAATCCAAGKCCGTGGACACGTTGGAAGGGGCCGCGGTGAAGGAGGATTGGGAGGTCGAGGCGGACTACTGGCAGCAATCCAGTCTCGCGCAAAGGAAACGAAAAGGAATCAACWGTGGTAACCACATCTTGCGTTTCGCTTCCTTTCCATTCTTCAGTCACGATTTCACTGCGAATCTACCTCCCTGGTTGGAACCAAAKCTATCCTGAAACGCTTTGAATTGTATCAGTRCGTAATCATCGCTCTTGGTTATTGTACYATAGCATTCATCGTTTCTTTTACATGAATTGTACTGTATTGTTTATGACTTTTTGGACAACTTAGATTTCTTATAGATAATGAATAAACGCCGTTCTTTCCCCCAGCTTGCTTGCACAGGKGGATTGTACCAGAAAACTTGAGTTTTGGTGCTTTGTTAAAATGAAAAGGAATCATCCTCCGTCATCTTTTTCTTGTTATTTTTRCCGAAGAAAAATTTCTTGGCTCCCTTCAAAGGGTCTACCAGGCCTTTCATTCTGTCTTTTCTGGAGGAGACGTCTGTCACGGATGCCATCGAAGGACAGTCAACAGACGGCGCCATGAATATATTGATGTTTGGTTCCACYTTTTCTGTAACACCTCCAGAACTCAGAGCGAATTGAATGTATCTGCTCTCACCCAAAGAAGGCCAYGGAGACTCGCTATCTGCTGTATTTTCAGAAATCGTCGAAAATGAATGTAATAGTACGTCGTCTTCGCTTGCTGCGTTGCTCACCTCCGATAGTTTCGGGCTCACTCTCTCAGTATTGAAGAAAAGCGAATCCTTATCCTCTGTTTCTGGTGGAAAAGAGAGAGGGAACATATCACATGCATCTGTACTTTCCCAATCACYATTACTCGAAAAATAATCGGCRATGTCGCGCTCGAGGGTGTTTTCGTCTCTTTTCTCTTGAGGGTCACTCGGTTGACCCCCTTTATCCTGYAGATAGGAATTTTGTGTCGCAAGACATCCGTCCGAAGTCGATCTATCTAAATAGCTTTTTCTGTTCATATATTTTGGTGATTTTGTGTTTGCAGAACCAAAAGACCTTCTTCCTTTCATAGTGCTCTGGCCAGACGGCGCGAACTTCTTTCTTAGGTTTTCTACGGTGCTATTTTTTGTCGAATTGGCTTTGTTTTTCTCCGCAATTAACTTCGCTACGGGAGAGGATAAACTCAAGGAATCACGTCTTCCCTCGGCTTCCTTWGTGTTTTTATTTTCGATCGCTTTGATTTTCTCCGCAATCAACGCCGCAACTGGCGAAGCGGAAGTAAATGAATCGCGTCTTCCCTCAAGTCCCTTTGGCGTTGATCTCAGGGAGTTTCGTACCTTTTCGATTTCGTTTGACTCGGGCGACACTTCATTGTCATCCTCAGGTGAACCTTTCAACGTTTTGGTAGAAAATGTCTTTGCAAGATCAGATACTCTACTTCGAACTGCAGGTTTTTTGCCATRCGTGACTTCGGTTGCATTGTATTTAGTTGCTACTTCGACTTCGTGTTGTCGTTTGATATGCGACAATGACTTTTCCTCCATATCATTTGGTTCTCGRTTCTKATTCCAAATCCTTCTGCTGTKCKTCGATTGWTCATTTGGTGCAATACTTGTTGTTGATCCAACGTGTTTCRACTTTATATTGGTAAGAAGTGATGATCTAGATGTCTCCGAAAGGTGCTCAGCAGAATTCTTGATCACTTTCCATCTTTCTTCTATTGCAGGGCCTACCTTCTTTAGGGCTGCCGCCACATCTTTCTGAAATTTTTCATTTTCTGAGACGAAGTCCTGAATTTGGTTGTTCGGGTCATCCGAAGGTTTGGAAGGTGAAGTTAGATCTTTTTTTGATCTTACTTGCCACGATGGCAATGATGATGTGCTCTGATTGATCACGGAGCTATGTCGCTTGTGTTTCACGTTGGAATTCTTTTTCTTTAATAAGGATTCTCTCGTTTGTAGCGATGATGGTGAGGGAGAATAARCGTCCATCAGATTTGACAATTCCGACTTCACTGGTGGTAAGGACTTTCTTCGAATCAACAATTGATTTGYATCATTGTCTTTCCTGCCGTCGGGAGCGGCAGAGGAAAGAGATTCATTATCGTCATCGGCTGATGCATCTATCGAGTTTATATTCAGATTTTTTTTCCATCCRTCTTCYACGGGTGGCGCAACTTTTCTCAATGACACATTGCCGTAGTAAAGGCCCTCTTTTTCGACGGCATCTTCTTCCCCCTTTTGAAAAKAAACTGTAAGGGGAGGAAAGCWATGTYGGGTGTTGCTAGAGCTCGAAGGAGAGGATGAAGACAAAAGTCTGCACGATGCCTTGATSAGACTGACTCTATTTTTCGGAATTGTGRTGGGAAATGCAACGGGACTAAGAGCAGAACTCCTRCAAATGCTGGCGGAAACAACACTAGCGGTATCTTTGGTAGAATRCATCAAGTCTCTTTCCTCCTGGTAGTCTTTATATCGGCCCGCATCATTTTTATTTTTTMTTTCTTCCCCATTTCTGTCTTCCGCATCAACGACTTCCTCTTGATCGATGTCTTGTCGAGTATCGAGTGCCGTTGTTGACTGGTATTGTCTCAGGCGATCTTTTACGCTCACGCTTGCGCTTATGTAGCTTCTGTCATCGTCATCGAAAACTTCTCTCTTGTTACCCTCGACATTCAGACTTGATTGATATTCCTTCCKTAGATCCTTTACGCTCACAAATGTTTCTCCATTAGCGTTGCYATCGTTGACATAGAGCTGGCGAAGGTCGACCATCTTTGCCTTCACGACTGCCTAACTTCTACCGCTATCGCAATGGAAAATGGGAAGGAACCAATTCAATCAAGCTTTTATTCCTGGTGGCCGAATCAGCCAAGTGCAGGACCAAAAATTTGGAATTGCACAACTGCTAAACTGCTTTTGTTGGTAGCGTAGTTAGAGAATACCTGTCACCTTCTAGTTTCTTTTTCCGCCTTCGCGGATCTACTGTGGACGCCGACCATTGCGAGCGTACGGTACTCGWATCTTCACGATCAAAAACCCGACATCGGCAGTCTCGTTTTCCAATCGCCAAATTATCTTGGGAAGTACGATACGTACTYGTGTTCATTGTTAACGGTCRCGCTCCTGCGAATACGGTAGTATGGCGTAGCATGCTCAAAATTAACCCGCGTCCTAGTATTGCTCGTGTCGATCACTAAAAACAAGATTCAAATAGTCAAATTCCATTCTGTCAAGTAGCAACAAACACAGCTTTCGTAGCTCAGCTGGTTAGAGCGTGGGTCTAATAAACCCAAGGTCGTGGGTTCGATCCCCACCGAGAGTAGACTTTTTCGTKTACGTTGTGCWAGACMATCACCTTTTKACATAWACTTTTTGGACTTGGAATAGTAATAGTACCGGTACTTGTGATCGTAGTGCAGTTTCTCCTACTAGTAGCACTTCTTCCAACAACAGCCATCATTTCASCACCCGATTACTGCTACCTTTCCAGTTCTTCCTGCTGCAAGTACTACTAATATTAGTAGTAGCTAGTAAGCCACAAACATACTAATACTTACTTGCGAAACTACTAGTAGTACTACTACTATTACTACCAGTAGTGTTAGAATAAGGAGTATAATCTCATTCAGAACTATAGAACTGAATCTGGTTGTCTAATTGATGATGTAAAGGGAGAGTTTTGAAAACGTTATCCACACTGGGGTATTTTWTTCCGGACAATTCCTTTAAGCACGAAATCGTGCTTTACCCGAATACTTTTATGAGTCCAGCGAGGCGCTTTCTTCTTCTCCAAACAAAACAAATCGCTTTCTTTGACGTTCCACATCTCACAAACACCAAACAAAAATGCATCTTTTCTTCCAAAGAATCTACTCGATATTTCATTGCTTTGCATCGTGTTTGTTGTCGATGGAGTGGCTCCCAACAAAGATCTGTATAGGTCCTCGCTATGCTGCCTTTCAATGCGCAAATCTAGTTTATTGTATCGAATTGCATTGGATAGGTTTGGATAGGACTRTGCCTGCACCTGCTGCTACCGCACCAGCTCACCGGTTCCGAGATCGACCTCGACCTCCTCGTATTCTTCGTCGTCGTCCGGGAGGACGCAAAAGACCCCGCCCGCAGGAATGTCCACCAGGGCCCGCAGCAWAAGGTCGCCGTTCTCGSTATCGACCAGCTCGCAGCTGGGCTCGTAGCTCCTCGGCAGGTCCGCGGGGATGCGGTCCTCCCCCTCGAGGACGGCCTGGCCCTTTTTCCAGTCGCGGTCGGAGATCGCCCGCGGGTCCATCTGCTCGCTGGCGTTGCCCAGCCGGTCCGCATCGTCGTCGAAGGCAATCGACAGCGACTCGCCCTCGGCAATGTCYCGCAGGGCGACCAGGGCGATTTCCGTTCCGMTGGCGGCCGATCGGTCGTCGGCGTCGCTGTCCCCGGCGTCGCCGTGCGCATCGATTTCGAYCAGGACGCAGTTGGGGTTGGCGCTCCTCGGAAGGTCCTCGGGGATTTCTTCGTCGCTCCCCTCTTTCTCGTCGCCGTTGGCAAAGACGGATTCTCYCTTTTTAACGTCCCTYGGACAGGGAACCGGCAGATAGAAATCGTGCGCAGCGCTGATTGACCATTCCGAGGCAGAACYGTTATTGCCACCCTCGATGCTGTCGTTGGACGACCCTTTGTAGTTCAGTTCCGTCCGRTGGTACCATATTTTGGTGTTGAGCACGAAAACGTCTCCCTCTTCGACGGTTATTTCGAGGTTCCAGCGGTTGCGCTTGTTCTTYCCATTATCACCAACGCTGCCATTGATCGAGAGCTCCTCGGCCAGCATCGAATCGGGGTGGGGGCGAATCTTCCATGTTTTTGTCCCAGCAATCTGGATGTGGTAGGTGCCCGAGTGCGTAACCTCRTCCACGTGCTCGGCACGGCCCACYAAGGTGTTRGCCGCMGCCTCGTTRTCGGWTTTGGTTTCGGATTCTGTTTCCCGCTTYCGTTTCTTTTTGGCGGAACCAGAAACRCCGTGGTGGCCGAGAAAGAGCCAGGTGCCGGAGGGTTCACCGATCTCGTAGAGATCYTCAAAGACATTGTCGAATCTGGGAAGCATCTTCATCAAKGATTTGTGCGCTTTKGATGAATCRTCMTTGCTTCCATCGTTGTCGTTGTCGTYKTCGTCTGTGTTTTCGTTGTCGTCGCTGCTGCGGTGGACAATCGTCGATACATAAAAGGAATCGCTTGTCCCCGTAAAGCCCTCCAGTGTTTTGGGTGTGATTCGGCCCGTGGTTTTATCGGTYTCGGCGATAGTTCCGTGATTTTCCACCGACCAGCTGGCTTCGCAAGMGGCGGAATGCTCCCCAACAAAGCCGAGRATCTSGTTTCCGGTCGGCATGGGCATCCGTGTTRCCGTCGCTGGCAGTTTGCCGCTGCCGCCGCTCCGGAACCAMAGAAAMCCGACCCGCTCGAACCGTTCTAAAAAGTCGTCCGGGGTCAGGGACTCTGGGTCGTCGACGCGTTCGAACAGCCGCGACAAGTCCTCGCTCTCGTCCCGGGTGGTTTCGGTTCCCATGTCGCTGTCGTTTTGGGTCTGCCTGTTGTTTCCGGGGGTTGGTTTTTGTTCCTCCTTTCCAGATTTTTCTTGTTAGTACTAGTTCGAAAGTGCGGGTGCTTTGGAATAGCGCTATTGATCGATGTGTTTCTTCGGTGATGTTTCCGCCGAAGATTTTGTCGTTAGAACGGCATTCATMTCAAATCAAGCAAGAAACTGCTATTACTTGCATTTCGTAGACTACAAGTACGGTATTTTTTTGGAAATCCTTCTCGCAAAAAATTGATGGCCAATTCCCATCATTTTTTGACTCCGACTTGCCTTCCTCAAAATCACTGCACGCGAATGCGCGTGGAAGCAATGTGAATGGAGAAAGGCGACGTACGTACGTATGTCCGTGAGTATGTACATACGTACGTACTTACGTTATTCATACCTCAAAAAATCACAAGCTTCTTGCTTTTCTGTCGTCGATTTGTTGGATCAGGAACGAAAATTCACTGAAGCTGCTGAATAGTGATCTACTTCTAGTCAGACTGTTCACTTGCTCACTGTCGTTCCCTGCTTCCACCATAACCACTCCAACGATAAMACCGAAATATCTTTCGWTCGGAACAATTCCACCTACCGGACAAAAGTCGCTCGCACTCGAATCCGAAACAAGACCGAAACAAAGTTCAGAACGAATCGAATCGAATCGAATCCAAAATAAACCATCATGACAAAACAACAACAACAACAACGAGGCTCCTCTTTCTCGCGGAACGCCCTGGTGGCGGCGGCGTCGGTTGCCGCGGCAATGGCTGCAGGCGCAAGCGCATGGATGCCACCGGCCAAGACGATTTCGTCCCACAMCAAAAACATTCCCAACACGAACCACAACGGGCAGCAGCGGCTCCCCCGGCCGGAACAATCGCTGCCGCTCCGAGACCGGCAACGGCTGTTCATGGCCGCCGAGGAAACCGCCGCCTCGCCGTCGCCCATGTCCTTTCTCGAGGAAGACGAGTGGAAAAGTGTCGAGGACCTCCACGACACCGCGACTAAGAAAGCCGCGGACAGCGACGCATCCTACCAGGAGGCCGCGGAGGAAATCATCCCCACCCTGTCGAACGCGCTGATCATGAAGCTMCGCAGCGGGGAGCAGCTCGTGCCCCCGGAGGCGGCCGGGGATGCTTCCAACGACCGGCTCCTCGGGATCTTCTCGGAGGTTTCAAAGGCCCTCAACACGATGGCGGACCGCCGCCTCGATACGGCCCGCGACACGCTGAAGCAACTGATGAACGCGGGCGAGATCAAAAAGCTCGATGCCCTCATCGGAAAATCCGCACGGGAACGACGACTGGACGTTGCCTTTTTCCAGGTCCTGCAGATGAACCTCCGGGACGCGAGCGAGGAAGCCCAGGGAGAGAAGGACGGTGCGGTGGACCGCTTCCAGATCCTGCAGCACATCTACACGCGGTGCCAGGAAGAGGTGGAAAAGACGATCAACCCCGGAACGGCCCTCCTCAACAAGCTCCTGCGGACGGAGGTCGATTCCATCCGCAAGAACCAGCTGAACCACTACCTGTGCCCCGCGAAGACGACCATCACGTCGCCCGACGGCAAGGAAATCGTGCTGAACAACGGGGAGCCTAGCAAGCCCCTCGTCGCCCACGACGATTTCTGCGTGGCCATTGGCAACGCCGTCCAGCAGATCCGGACCGTCGAGAAGTCGGGGGCCACCAGCCCCGCCGTGGCGGCCGACCTGGTCGAATCGATCCGGCAGGTGGCCATCCAGGGGCGTTTCGTGATCGGGGAGCACTTYGGTGGGAACTCGACCGAGGTGATCGCGTTCGAGGACGCGCTGGAACCCGTCTTCCGACCCACCTCGCCCGACAGCCCCTACATCCAGGGGGAGCAATAAGCCAAACGCGATGTTGTACGGTACAAATCCACGAACAGACAAAAGCCACCGATCAACAAGCATGAAAGCGTCCGGTACAGAAACGGAAACAAACCATAACGCCTTCTTTTGCTTTCCCCAAATTGCCTAGACCAAACCTGTTGGATTTCAAAATGCAATTGAAATGTGTGCGATTCGATAGCTATGCGATTTCATTGCAAGCACATTCCATCGCATTTTTCGATCGCCATTTGTCAGATTTACAATCACGCTGGACGTTTACCCAAGATAATAACTATTTTGACTCATAGCTTGTTTAAGGATACCAAATAGTGTTGTTTACATCGAATTGTTTACTGGTAATCTATCTAGTATCGGACGCTATTGTTGAAAGCCATGTTCTACCAATCCCAAACCGCTTTGTTGAACCCCATTATCAACTCTACACATCCCTGATGCTACCCATTGTTTATATCTGATCTAGACAGTTATACGGCGCAACTTCCGTGTCGCGATAATTAAATGCTGTTCTACGAGATGAAAACCTGATGTCGGAAACTTGTAAAATCGAATCGCTTCCGCAAAATTCAAAATATCGTGATTCGGTATTCCATCTCACGCGAACCGGATCAAAGACAGATTTCATTGCCAAGGAGCCACGCAAGCATCCCTTTTCGGTYCGTGCTTGCCGTCCCCTGCAGCAAGAGGGAAACTACCTGTTCACCGGGAAATCGAACGCACGAAACTGCGCATCGTATCTTTTGGCAATCTTGTTGCTGTGACGGGTCGGTTTTTGCCCTGGCATTTCGTTTTGTCAACGAGGAGTGCAAAGAGACTGCTATCGTCTGCTCCACCGAAACCCATCCGGTCCCAGAAAAGTTGTGTGCTTGCATTCGGATTGTCTTTTGTCATTGACACATCAACAAACGGGAATTCCACGGAGGCGTGAATCGACTGAATGGTGCATTCGTTTCACGCGATTCCAAAAACGCAAAGTGGATCCGGACCGGCAAGAAGATCTCCCGAGGCGTCTGGTTCCAGTGCGCTGCATTGTTCCGCGCTGCATTGTTCCGTTCCGTGCCGTCGGCGTTGTTTTCCAATCCATCGCAATCGCAATCGAATCAACAACCCTTTTTTTGTCTCGGGACCCTTTCGGTTCCTTCATATCGGGACGCTGGTTCTGCTGCGTCGCGGCGACGCCGACAGAACGGTGACCACCTTGTCGTTGTCGTTGTTGTCGTCGTCGTCGGGAGAGGACGAAAAGTAGACGTTGCATTCTCCGTCGACGTAGGACCGAAGGACCCTGCGGAACTCGGAAAACTTGTTCCGGCTGATCTTGAGCTCCTCGACCAGCGTGCACGACGACGACGACGACGATTCCTCCTCTGCCGGAGCACCGTTTCCTTCGCCGCTGCTGCCTCCGCTGTTGTCGATGACAATCTCCTCGAGGTCGCCGCTGCGTTTGTTGCGGAGTGCATTGTCCGGGTGGTCCTCGTTGTAGTAAACGTGGGCAAAGGGAAGGCTCGAGACACCGAGGCCCTTGTGGAGGTAGGCGTTCTCTTTGGTGAGAGGCACCTCGACGAACTTGACCGTGTCGGGGAATTCTTGGGGAAGACGGTGAAAGCTGCTCTCGATGGCCTTGCAGGCCTTGCACCAAGCTACGGTATGTGTTTGTGTTTGTTTTGTTTTGTTTTGTGTCGAAGGCAAGGTTGGGCGAAACGAAGAAGAAAAACGGGAATGAGACAACAAAATAAAGGTTGTTTTCTCGAGACGATGCATTCGATCGAACGAGATCGAGGGTAGCATTCGAGAGCTGGATCKGACTCAACAAAGAAAACAGTCGGCCCGAGCTAACTAGCTATGGCACTACCACAGGCAGGAGTTGCCTTCGACCCCCCAACCGCTCGGAGCAGGCCGGYGAGAASGCTTCCGCTTCGTTTCGTTTCGTTTCCTACTTACAAGCATAAAACCGAACCACCACCAGCGAGGCGTCCCTGGCGTCCACCACTTCTTCCTTGTAGTGCTGGATGTCCCTGATCTGAATCATGGCGGGCCGCTTTTTTGGTTTGCGGGACCTTTCGCCGCCCTTCTTCTTGGGCCCTGCTTCGGAAGTGGACGACACCACGGGGAGCGGGGCCGCTCGGGCGTCTTTCTTTGTGCTTGCCTTTGCGCTTGCCACGGCCTTTGTTTGCTGGATCCCCTGCAGTGCGTATCCACCCCACCGGCCGCTCCCCCGAATGTGCTCGTAGCGCTGGATGAATTCTTGTTTTCGATTYCTCATGTCCTCGGCGAAGAGTTCCTCGTCGTTCTTTGTTCGGTTTGGGTTTTCGTGGTTGTTKTTGTTGTTGTTTTCGCCGGTGCTTCCGCTGCGGTTGCCGCTGTTGGCCTGCCTCGGCATCAGGCGGTCCATAAGGCTTCCGTAAAAGACAATGAGCGGGGAGGAGGTGGACGAGGATCGGGACTGGCTCCTCCTCCGCCTCGTGTTGGGTTCCACCGGGGGGCTTTTCGAGGTGGACGGGCCGCTTCTTCTCCGCGTCGAGGGCGTTCTCCTCTGGTGGTGGTTCGGCAGGGAGAGGGCTTCCGCGAGGGGAGGATTCCCGCCCGTGGATGCAAGCAGGACGGTGGACAGGCCCGCCACCAACACTGCCCACAAAGGGACGGCGTGCATCGGCCTCGATCGCTTGCACTCTCTGTGTCGTGCCATGCTTCCGATGCTTCTGACGGAGACGATTGCGCAGAAGAACCGTGCGATCCGAACCGGATGGGTAYCGTSTACTGTATCTGGAMTCCAAAGAAAAAGGTACGGGGAGGGTGGATCCGAAGGTTTCTCCCTCGATGCTTTCGCACGGTATGCTWTGCTATGCTATRYTWTGTTTTGTTGTGGTGCGGTGCGGTATCGCCCCGTTTCGTCTTYGACCGAGAACCGCTAGCTCACTAGATGCTCTTGCCTTGGCTTTGTGCGTACTGTAGCTGCAACAACGGGCAGCGAGAAGACCGAACGCTTTTGGGAAGGAGGAACAAGAGCAACTCCTACTTTTATTCGGCAATCGTATTTTTTCCTCGKAAACACACCACAAAATTATCAACGATATTTATTGCACTTCGTGCGTCGTACTGCTATGCTCTCGTCGGCAAATTGTACTGTAGCAACGAATGTACGTATGTATTCCGTAAGTAACTGTACCGATTTTGTCCATCACCCACGAAAGACCGATGAGGGATGATGATTTTGATTGAAGGCTTCCCATAGCATCGCACACGAGTACGTCGAACTTGCTGTACTGGTACAAATCGTACGAGTACRTACCAAGTGAGGAGTTGATCTCGTTGGATTTTCATTCCCAATGATCCTCGGGTTTGATTGGTGCAAATGCGAGAGGTTGTTTCAATWTCAACGATGAAGTTGCCGTTACACTATGTTGCGGTACGGCAGGCCAAACAACTAGCATGTCAAGTTTTTAACGTGACGTCACGTAGATCGACGTAGATACCGTGACGCGACCCAACACGAAACAYCGTGATTTTCTGTTCCGAATCCAATTTTTCCACTGTTCTTCGGCGGAATCTCAAAGTTCAAGAATTTCGTGGAGGTTTCGAAGTTCCGGGTTTCTTCATTCGTGATCAAGCTTGTCCCGCATCCAAACCAGAACGGGATTTGGAWGACAATTGACTCGATCGAATAACCGAATGGCATCCAACGAGAAAGCCCGCAATCATTTCCTTCTTTGTTACGGCCAAGGACCAGCACGATGATTTTTTTCTCGCACGAGTACGAGTACTAGTACGAGTACGAAAACGTTGGTTCTGTTCACCAACAACAAAGCATCATTTTTGTGCCTACCGGTATTTCGTATTTTGGTACAAAAGGAGTACAGTACCATACCGTGCGAAGAATCGATCCGGAGAATCGACAGACAAAGAGACAATCAGGCAGACGAGCGGCCAGAGTCGAAACGAAACGAAACGAAATACATACACAGAGAGACAGCATGACCGGCAGCACCAACGAAGCCCTGGCGGATGCCTGTTCGGGCGTCGTCGGGACGCTGGTTTCGCTGTGGTGTTTTTATCCCATCGAACGGCTGAAAACCAACGTGCAGGCCGGAACCAGCACGGGGTCCTTTTCTTCCTCGTCTTTTTCTTCGCCTGCGTCGGCCTTGTCTTCCACGGAAGAAATCCTCGAGGTCTTGAAGAGATCCTTTCGCGGGTGCGGAACCAAGAGCCTGCACGCCACCGCATCGAGTTTCTGTTATTTCTATTTCTACTCGTGGATCGTTTCCGATTACCAACGCCGGAGGCGGCGGAAGACGAACGAAAAGGGCGATCTTCAAAAGGGCACCGGACAAGGACGAGGACAAGGACAAGGACTGGCACCCTCGACGCGTCTGTTTCTGGCGGCGATCGCGGCGATGCTCAACACCCTGGTGACCCTTCCCCTGGACGTCTTGTCGTCGCAGCGCACCGTGGGAGCGGACCCCGAATCGAATCGGGACGCGACAACGAAAGCCGCCAATCGGAGAACAGCGGCGGCTTCCCGGCCGAACGATGCGGGGAAAACAGCACACGGGAACGACTCCGCGGCGCGTGCCCCACCCTCTGGGTCGTCGTCGTCGTCGTCGTCGTCGTCGTCGTCGTCTTTTTCTTCTTCTTCTTCTCCGACGACGACACCCTCGGAACCGTCCGTCGTTGAATTGGTCTTTCACGAGGCTTGCTCGTGTTCCGAAGACCTGTTCTCTCTCGACGGAAAAACGAACAGCAGGAGCAACAGCAGGAGCAGCAACAGCAACAGCAGCAACAACAGCAACAGCAACAGCAACAGCAACGGCAGCGGGGAACACTGCGGGGAGCAAGACGACGCCAACAACACCAGCCGGTGCAGCAACAACAGCAGCCTCAGCGGAGCGAGCAGCATGCTGTCCATCAACGAGGAGTACAGGRCGAGGTGGAACCAGCGCCAGCTGGAGCGCAATGCCCTCAAAACGCGGAGRCGGCGGCTCCCGCACCGGATCGAACCGAGGCYKTCCGTGTGGCCGGTGCTGCGGGCCTCGCTKGCCAMRGCCCGGCCGGTCCCGACCCTGCCCAAGAGGTGGTCCGGCCTCTGGAAGGGCCTGGCACCGGCACTCCTGCTGTGCAGCAAYCCGAGCATTCACTACACCGTCTTTGACGTTCTAAAGAMCAACCTGCTGGCCTGGAAGCGCCAGCGGAAGAACACCGTGGGTGGTGGTGGAAGCCGGCAGCAGCTCTCGGCGTCCGATGCCTTTGTGCTGGGACTCCTCTCGAAATTTGTTGCGACCATCGTGACGTACCCACTCATCCGTGCCAAGGTCCTGATGATGGTCCAGGGCAACAACAACAACAACAACAACAACGACGACGACGCCGACGACGACGACGATGGCACCGGCAAAGAAAGCACCGGCACAACAAGCAAAGCCAGGAGATTTGTTTCGTCGAGGTCGAGTTCCTCGCTGCTTTCCGTCCTAGAAGAATCCTACCACCGGGACGGCGGAATCAAGGGATTGTACAAGGGATGCGACTGGCAGCTGATCCACACGCTGCTGAAATCGGCGCTGATGATGGCCATTCGGGAAAAAATCACCGGGACGTCCCGTWCCTTGTTTCGGGTCGGGGAAGCAGCATCCCCGTCCTCTTCCTAAGCCAAAGTGGCGGCGGCACGCCAGCGGCAGCTGCAATTTAGAATTTGATTGATTCGGTGGAACAAGTTGTAGAGCATCTTAACATCATGATGGTAGTTCTGGCATTTTACTGTGAAATGTCTTGCACCATTGAATTCTACCTTGTGCTTCCGTGGTAATTCTCTATGCCTTTTCTTCTCCACTTTCGGATSTAGAATAGAGTTATGGTAAATGATAGTGGGAGTGTTAATTTGYTTCCCCCTTTGCATTCGAAACAGTTGCGTGGACTTCATTTTTGAAATGTTTGGAAGCATGTTTTTGTCTCTCGTCCTGGGACCAGTGCAAAGTAACCGTAYTACCGTAGGTGCTAATATTATTGTATATTGTATCGTCATGCTGCCGGGTAAGATTCCATACCGGACATGAATCGAGAATGAATTCTGAGTGCCGTAGYTGGTATCTACGYTGGACAACTTGTTATCGATCAATCTTTGGTCGGGYGTGCTTGTTCCACAAAGCAGTTTCTTTACTAGCAGGAATTTCGCAACAGTTGGTTGCGCATACCAGTGAAATTTRGCTCCGCACTTCAATTTTCTTTTTTATAGTACTTCACTTATTAATAATTGCTTCAAACATTCTACAAATAGGTATCTAWAGTTTTCTGTGAGTCGCTCYCAAAAGATCATATTGCACAGTTCTTCTGAGGAGGTCTTTGTTGATAGCTAACTAGCCCTCATTCAATCGAACCCTCTAAAAAATCAACGCGCTCGTCACTGCTTAGTTAAGACTGAAATAGCATACCCAATCCCCTACAATTTTAAAAAATATTTGAAATAGAAGAAAGGGAAGCAATCGATTCCATAGATGGTAAATACTGGTGGTGCTTATTGGCTCATGTCCAATTGTCAGTTGGTTGATCATGTGCGTCTACTGTTTCCCGTAAGGTAAGTGAAATATCGTAATTCTTTTATTATACTGTACATGGTTTATATGTAARRTTGACAAAAAGCTATCCATGCCTAAATTTGGATGGGTTCTCTTGTCGTGCATCTAGACACCAATCTCTATTTAAACGATGGAAAACTTGTCGGCCTTGATCTCGCTGCTTTTCAAGCTGTCTTTCTTGTCACGATAACCGCCGAAGCCAGCAGCAGAGCTGCTATGGAACAACGAGCCCTTCTTGGCGTTGGAACCTATACTTTTCGCCGAGTCGAACAGGCTTTTGTCCTCGTCGTCTAATTCTTCGTCCCGGAACGGAGCGTGTATCAAAGCAGCATTCGTGTTCACACCAGAGGCAAGCTTGTTGAGGTAGGTGCCGTGCCATCCACCCGCAGGAGACTTACGCAAATCCACGTCCTCAACGTTGAATCGTTGTAAATAGGTGAAAATCGAATTCTTTTTGACRTTGTAGGCTCGCTTTCTCGATCTGCGTCGGAAAAAGCATCCGCAAAAAGTCAAGAGAGTCGCTAACACAGCGAAACCGATCACAATGCCGAGTGTTTTGGAATTCATTTKAACCTGCTCACCGAACCATTCGGCTGGTGCTTTCCCGGKCTTCACAGAATTGTTGTAATTGTTTGTCTTATCGGTTGATTGCTTGCTTAAAGARGCTTGGTGAGCACCGTTGTCGTGGTTGAAAGTCATTAGGAACAGATCGCTTGTATGACTCGAAGACCTGCCCCGCTTCCGATGAAAGGACCCAGTGGTATCACCATATACTACGGCATTGCCGTTCTCGTCCACAGCAATTCCTCCACCGCGYGCAACACGATCATCACCACTGGATCCGGCTTGTTCGGACCAGATTTTGTTTCCGTTGCCTGTTTCTAGCATGGCGACAAAAATGTCGTCTCCCCCGGAGCTTTCGATCGCACCTTCGAGCACCGCTCCATTTTCCACATCACCGACAACATAAATGTGACCCCAACCGGCAGCCACGGCACAACCAGTAGCAACGGAAGCTGCCTGTCGATYGGTWCCACCGTCGGCGTGGGTCACCGCAAACTGTGTCGTCCACTCGATGTTTAGAGTGCTGCCATTGATTTTGGCGACAACCGCGTGAACAGTGAGATCGGCATCGTCTCTGCTTACAGAACCATCCATCGTGCCTCCCGTAGCTCCCGTGACATAAAAGTATCTGTCGTCATCTGGGTCGGTGCAAATGTTCAACAACCAATCGTCGCTGCCATTCATAGATGCAAAATAAGCAACGCCTCGCTCCCCATTTTCTCCTTCTTCGACCAAGTCTCCAGTTTGCGTGGAAACCTTGGCCATGATCCCATCGAACCCCTCGTCGTCACTTTGTGTGCTTCCAACAACMACCAAATTCTGCCCAGAATTGATGATCGTCATTCCGGATAGGAAGATGGATTTTTGGTCAGCAGTTTCAAGGGGCTTTCGCCAATTCATATCCATAGTGGTTTGCATCGAGCCGGGAGCCATATCCTCGTCATGGTTTATTGTATGCCGCTCCAATAAAATCTCGTAGTGGGATCCATACTTTGTGATTCCTCCGGTAGTGAAATTCGGATACTTCCTGCCGTCGGCTCTGTCGGCTTCGGGTCGAACCTCCTGGMTCTTCGATGCCATTGATACCACGAATACTTTGTCGTTGTCGCTCAAAACCTTGACGGGATATTGCACATTTTCCTCATCGATAGTGGTTCCCCCCACCAAACCGTAATTTCCGTCCTGGTTTACAAAATCCATAACCATTCCATACTGTTTTCCACTGCGGTTGCTGCGCAACTCGGTCATCAGCCCCGAGGGTTCGGACGATCCCACCACGATGGCTTCCGATTTTCCTTGGTAGTTTGCGAGAGTGAGCGAACTGCATGCCTCGGGAGCTCTCTCCGTGCCGGGCGAAATATTTTGCTTCCACTGGAACTGGGGCAGCGTGGCAATGGCGAATATACAATGKGACGTCTTGGAAAGATTCTTRCCGTCCGATGTGTAGGTGCCCCCGGTCAGATACACCGCGTTTGAAAACTTGTCGTARTACATGCCCCCTGCGTACGACGGGATGCTGTCTAAGTTGGTCTGAGTGGCCACAATGCCACTGGGTTGGCTGGACTCTTCAGGGATATTATCGACGTTTTCTGCAATCTCTTCGGCCGTATCGCCTCCGACACCCTTGCCCTCGGATCTTGGGGCGAGAAAGCTGCCGTCCTTCTTGTTCATGGTAAAGATGACCAGATCCGCCGAGCCTTCGGGGCCCTCGTGAGCGTCGTAAAAGTCTCCGTAGGTTTCTCCGTAAACAACGACGTTTCCGAACGAGTCGACGTCTAGCGCCTGGGTCGTTGCTAGTCGGTCGTCTTCGGGAGTTCCTACCTGCTGGATCCACTTCGTCTCTCCCGTGCTACCGTTCATCGCAGCAACAAACATGTCGTCCTTTCCAAAGGGTGCAGCCGATTCCGAAAGACCCTGCAGGGTGGCTCCGTTTTTAATGGTTCCGCCGACGTAGACGATGTTTTCTCCGTTGGAATCGGGTGTCACGGTGCAGGCGTATGCCCCCGCCTCCATCACTCCGTCTCCTTTCATGACAAAGTGCTTCAGCCACAGGGCACCGAGTGATTTCACCTCGACCTTTGCMACAAAGGCGTGGCTGGAGCCCTCCGGTGGCTGTTCGCCATCTGTAACGTCCCTGATCTTCCCCGTGGATTTTCCGACGACGTAGAAGGCATCGTGGTYGAATCGATCGTTGCACACGTTCAGAATCCAGTCGTCCTTCTTGTTGATGGAATCCAGYCGCGTGGATGACTTGCTTCCGCTGGAGCGCTCCRCCAAGTCTCCGGTGGTCGGATCTATCTTCATGATGAAACCATCCATGTCCGTTCTGCCTTCACCGACTCGCTCGAAGGGCCCGCCGCTGCCCCGTGTGCTTCCCACCACGACCAGAACGTGCCCGTTTCCAACCATGGTCATTCCTCCGACCAAGAGGCCGTTGTTGTCGGGAGCGAAAACGGCTTCCCACGTCTGGGAGAGGGTGTTGGGAACATCGTCGTTTTCGGACTGTCCGGGGACCTCCGTGACCATGAAGCGGTGGATCACGAGGAAAAAGTTCGATCCGTATTTTTGCTTCTCYCGCGATAAGAAGTTGGGGAAATAGGCGTTCGTGTAGTCATCGTTCCCATTGGCTTCCTCGGAGGCCATGGACGCCACGAAAACGGCTTTSTTGTCGAGGGGGTCCGCGACGATCGAGACCGGGTGAAGGACTGGGTAGCCGACGACGTGGTTTCCGCCCAGCAGCTGGACGTCGTGGTTCATCTGGAAAATGTTTCCGTAGGCCTTGTCACCGGACAGGCCCATGTCCCACGACGATCCCCCGCCAACGAATTCGCCACCGTTACCGCTTTCCGCAAGGCCGAGCGCATAGACAGCGTTTCGGTTGGTGTCAAAGGCAACGGCGTTGCAGGCTTCTTCCGAGTCAGGATCTCCGCGGGGGGTTCGGACGTCGAGGTTTCCCGTCTCCAGATCGACCACTCCCGTAAGGCAGAGGCTGTTTTCGTTCATTTCCATTTCGGCGTCCATGTAGGTGGAACCCGACAGAAGCACAGCATTTCGCTGCGAGTCGTAGGCGATCCCCCCCGCGTAAGACGGTCCGGCGATCTGCAATCCGATGGGTCTATAGAAATGTGGGTTCTCGTCGCCATCGTAGTAATTCCATTCGTCATCGYCTASTAGGTTGATTCCCCKGTTTTCGTCGTTCGTGGGMMAGTYCGTMAAGTAGGTGGGAACTCCGGTGGGTTCTTTGTTGATTCCCCTGTTTTCGTCGTTTGTGGGCCAGTCCGTGTAGTAGGTGGGTWCCATGGTGGGSGTAGGGGTTGAATCGGTAGAATCGTCAGGGGTATCCTTGTCAAATGTATCGTCGTCAAAAAAGTCGTCATCCGCGTCGTCGTCATCGTCCATGACTCCGTCGTCCACGCCTCCGTCGTCGGTCATTTCATTCTCGCTGAATTGGTCGTCTTGAACAAGGTCGTCTTGAACAAGGTCGTCTTGAACAAGGTCGTCTTGAACAAGGTCGTCTTGAACAATATCGTCGTCCACGCTGAGGACTTGTTGCGACGAACTCCCTCCGAAATAGGGCTTCTGGGAGACGAGGTCCTCGTTCGTAATGACCTCCCCCGTCGATCCATCGATCGCCATRACAAACATGTCGCCCATCCCGCTTTCCTCGTCGTTTCCCCTCTGGCGGTAGAGACTCCCGTTGGTGTCCCCGTACAAAATCGGGTTTCCGGCCTTGTCGATGGTGAGCCCGCCGTACCGGGCCAGCCGATCGTTTCCCTCGCTCCCCAGCTGGGTGATCCACTCGACGCCCTGGGTGCCCTTGTAGACCTTGGCGATCCAGACGTCGTCTCCACCCTGCGAGGTCCGCGGGGAATCTCCCTGGACCACTGCGGCTCCGTCGTCGACGGTTCCGGCCACGTAGATGTAGTCACCGTCGACGGCGCAGGCAATGGCGGAGCCATAGGCGGCCCGGTTGGMCGATCCCTTGGTGACGGCCCACTGCAGCGTCCAGAGGTTGCTGTCGTCGTTGAAGTTGGAGCGATCGACCTGGACCTGCCTCAAAAAGGGGGAGAGCATCTCGGTGGGCAGCCGRACCTTGTCCTCGTCGTTCTGGAGCCTTCCCATCCGTCCCAGGGTGCCCCCGACAATGAAGAAATGGCCGGGATCGTTGGGATCGTCGCAGACACCCGTGACAATGTCGTCYTTGGGAGATCCCTCCCTGGCCCCGGATCCCAGCATCTCTCCGGTTTCGGGATCGAGGACCGTCACGAATCCGTCTTCGTCGCTACCCTCGGCTTCTCCGTAGCCGGTTCCGGTGCCCCTCGTCGAACCGACGACGATGACCAGATCCTTGTTGTCCGCGGTAGTCTTGTGGAGAATWCCCCCGACAAAGACCCGCGGCGRGGACATCTGCGAGGAGGGATCGAGCGGAAACTCCGTCGTCCAGGCCTTGGAGGCGGTGATCGAKCCGGTGGGGATCCCGTCAAAGCCCGAGTTTCTCCCAGTGCCCTGCGCGATCTGTATCTTGGAGACGTGCATGTCGAAGGAGGATCCGTATTTCTGGTGCTTGAGCCAGTCCGGGTAGGGCTCGGTGGCGGARGTGWAACTGGCCGTGTTGTCAAWGGCATCGGAGGAGGCCAGGACCACCACGTACATGTAGTCGGAGAAGCGGCTGTCGGGAGCAATGGCCACCGGATAGATGAGCTGGTTCATCTTGTCGTCCTGGCTGATGAGCGTGGCCTCCGTGAGCTGGTCCCCGTTCACCTGGTTTCGGTCGTAGACCGCAATRTTTCCGGCCAGTGSGGGCGTGTTGAGGGAGGGGTCCTCCTTTGTTCCCAGCACGACGATCTGGGAGGGCTGGTGGACCGCGAGGGCGGTGCAGGATTCGGCGTCGTAGCGGTTTTTGGAGGTGACCCGGGAGGTCCAGTCGCCGATTCCGTCAAAGATGTACCCGGAGGACTCCGGGTTCTCTTCCAGCCGCATAGAGGCCAGGAAACACGAGGGCATGGTGGTGGCGGGATCGTTTCCGGCAAACAGCTTGCTCGCCGTGCTSGCGACGATTTCGTCGCTGTAGTGGATCCCTGTCATGTAGAGCTTTTGGYCTTCCTTGTCGAGATACATTCCCCCGGCGTAGAAGGGTCCTGAGGAGGGCCCGCTCTGGAGGCCGCTGCCCAGGATTTCTGCGACAAACGTCGACAACAGCAGAACCGACAGGGACAGGGAGGTCGACGAAMGAAATTTGGTCGTCGTTCCGCTTGTCGTGGGCGATGCGGTTGTCGTCGTCGACGCTTCTGTTCGTCTGCTTGGTTTCATCGTAGGCAACTGGCTTCCATTGCTCAGACTCGAAGACGTTGGAACCAGAGCCATGGTTTCCTTCGAATCTTTCGTTTTTCTTTTGATGTTGAAAGAGCAGTGCACTGAGTTTTTTTAATCCTCTCCAGGATGCGAATTCAAAATTAATGAAATCTACGMGACATTTCCCAGCCGCCGCAAGAAATTCATAGATGTTGTTGGCTTCTTGCCCAAAAACTGCACGTACGATATGGTACGGCACTCTACGCAAAGGGTTCGCTGTCAAAATGCCAAAACAAATAGTAGCACTACGAGGATGCTACTGCGAGTTCCTCGCAAACGGCACGAACCACCCTCACCTTTAAGCAGAAAAGAATGGTTCATCATTTTCCCCCCTTCCTTGATAGTCATAATTAGAGCACCATCAGATTTTCGAATTAATATACGCGCTACCCTGAAGTTTTTTATTGTCCATATGTGACGTAGCACCGTCTGTAATCGTACGGGAATATTAGTACCGTTTTACTGTACTTCCTATCCATTTATTACGGCCAGGAACTCTGGCTTCGTACGAGTTACCCGCTTGTATCGTACTACTACCATATACTACGGTAGCAAGTTGTACCTGAGACGTGATTGATAGACCTRCCTCGCCTAAATATTCTTCCTAAAACAAAACAAGAGTGCTTGCGTGATTCCGAGGTTCAAAAGTCACTGATATGTCTTCAAAATACATATGAAATTCGCAGCCTGGAAACTAAGCTATGTAATCATAACGCTACGCTACCAAACCAATTTTATATCGTGTAAGATCRAAGCAGAAACGATTCTATTATTCCGTGGTATTGTTTCTAGTGGCACACTCAACCATCCGTCTTAACCGCCAAATTGAAGGTCACATGCGGCACGTAGCTTGTACGGTAGGGGTGTACTTTGTGCTACCGTTCCGCAAGGGACGGGTTTGAGTGATGGGACTTGGCTATTTGCCGGCCAGAATTACATATCATACACCAGGAGACAGGAGATCCAATCAAGAGTTCCCGGCCTCCAAAGCAATATATTTGGCGGTCGTATTACTCATAGGATTCGAAGGGTGCTTGCATATTTTGAGGTGGTACGTCACGCGCGTCAACCCTAACCCCAACCAGGGGTCATAAATTTATGACCCCTGACCCCAACATCGTTAATAATTATGACCCATTGAATTGTCACATGTAACGTATCGTACGTACTCGTACGTACATTTAGAGTACTTTTGTCAAACTGAAAATCACGTGCGTACGTAACGTACCAAATCCTGCAGTACATGGGGTATTTTTTTCCTTCGACCATTTAGTACTTCGTACTATTTTTCTTGAAGGGCTTATTCATTCTTGTTGAAACGATACAGTAGTCCAGGCATKCAAGCGAATGTGAAGAAGTGGCGAAACTCTTCGTACGAGTGCTACTACATGTACGTACGACTTCCACAACTTAGGTGCGGTACTACAGTACTTTGCTTCCGTGTTTCGTACAGTACTTACCACTTCCACGCATCTTTCCATCGAACATCAGTCTTGTCTAGCAAAAACGCACGATACGGTACGCGTTCCATTCCGTAGAAATTGAACGACCTGTACTGCTGTACTGGATCTTGCGCACAGACCGTGATCCCGTACGGCGCGTACATCAAGAAAACAGTGATACCGAATGTTTGCACATGGGAGTCCGACAGTTTCTTCTGCTGCCATTGCCACCGCACCACAAAGAATTCTACCATACATAGTCTGCTGCCGAGAGGAATCCCCGAACCAACAACAATCGACACCACGCAACGAAAGAAAAGAGAGGAACGACACGAAACCAGAAGAAACCAAACCAAACCCATCCAATACAATCCGATCCAATCCATGCACCGGGCGAGAAAATGACCGGTCGTCTTTTCGCCGCGGCATCCATGTCGCTGTCGATGTCGCTGTCGATGTCGCTGTCGCTGTCGATGTTCCTGTTCCTGTTCCTGTTGGCATCGCTGCGGGCACCCCGCGCAGGGGCGCTCGGATCCTACCAGAGCGGCCCCGCTACGGGCTCGTTCTACGCCGGGGGCCTGGACTCTACCGACGAGCACGTTTTCGTCACGGGCATCACCTACGCAAATGCAAAGGCGGGCGAGAGCGGGGAGGAAAAACTACCCACCAGCGAGTCCTCCTGCTTTGTCACGGTCTTTGAGTCCGACAGGATCGACTCGCACCCSCAAACGATCGCGAGCGTCGTCGGGGACGGGAGCGTGACGGAGAGCTGCCACGCGCTGAACCTCCTCCACGACCCCATGCTTCCGTCGGGCGGGGAGTTCCGGCCCTTTGTGGTGGTGGGAACCTCGGATCCGGGGGGGATCTACGGATCGASMGGAAAGACGCCCTCGGGCTTTCTCATGGCGCTGAACCCGAAGGTGGACCAGGAGGTGGTCATCCGGGCCGGCCTGTCCCTGGACGACGCCGCGAGGACCGCCTCTGCCGCTTCGGGCTCGCCCCCGGCCACCGTCTCCTAYCCCGTCTCGGTCCTCTACGAGTACGACGAAGCCGCACAATCGGTGACGGAGGTCCCCGACGTGGAACGGAGGGAGGGCGTGGCCTACGTCCTCTCGCTCACCAGCACCGATCTCACCCTCAACCCCAGCCACGACCACATGGTGGAAGCCTACCACCACCAGCCCAACTGGCTGCGCCGCCGCAAGTACGGGACGGACTATTCCATGACCCTCCAGCGCTTCCTTGCCAGGCCGAAGGGGAGGCGCGGGACCAAGCTCGAGGCCGACTGGACGGTGTYCTACCCCGTGGAGGGTTTCGCCCCCCAGCTCGACCTGGCGGGGATGGTCCTTTCCTCCGGCGGGAAGCGGCTGGTGGTGGCCGGATCGACCGATGGAAGCGGGGAGGTCTACGGAAGGGTCCAAGCGGGGACGATCGACACGGACGGCTTTCTGGCCGTCGTCGAAGCGACCACCGGAACCGCCGTTGGCGGAACCGCCGAAGGAATCACCAGCAACCTACGGGTAGGAACCTCCAAGGACGATACGATCCTGGCCATTTGCGACGATCCCACGGACGACAACTTTTTTTTCGTGGTGGGATCCACCGGGCCCCACGACTCCCTTTGGCAAGAGGAACTCGGGGCGATGGGGGGCCGCATCGACGGCCACGATGCCGTCCTGCAGCCCGCCAAGGGCAGCACCTTTGCCTTTGTCCAGAGGCGAAACTCCAAGACCCTCGAGATGGACTGGGGAAAGATCTGGGGGGCCAGGAAGCCCGCCGACCAGCCCGCCGACCAGCCCGCCACGGTGTCCGCCACGGCATGCAAGGCCCTCCCCGACGGGACCCTGTACGTGGCCGGGATTGTCGAGGACGGGGCCCACCTGAAACGGGACCGAGGCGACGGGAGCAACCACCAACGCTACGGCGACGACGTCTTTGCGATCCGCTTTGTCGGTTCCAACGGGGCCGTCGGCTGGATCGCCCAGTTTGGATCCCTCGACGGCTCGGAGGGACTGGCCCCCGGCGGGGCCATTGCGGTGGACAAGAATCAGAACCTGGTGCTCTTTGGAGAGACCACCGGATCGCTCTACCGAAAGGGAGAGAAACGCGGAGACAAAACGGGAACCTCGGACATTTTTCTCACCACCCTCACCAAGTCCACCGGGAGCCACGACCTGGTGATCGGGGAGGAGAGCTTTCTGGACGCGACRACGGCGGGAAACATCTACGGACCCAAGGGAATTTTCCCCARTTTGTCGGAGGAGGAAAAGGCCATCTTTGGATTCAACGAAGGCAAATGGAACGAGGACCAGATCTACGGAGACAAGAACTGGTTCGATCAGGAGGGAATCGGCGTCCAGCAGGGACCCAACCCCGGGGCCCTCTTTGCGGGCGGAATGATCTATAACCCGCAGGACAAAGCGGTGTACATGACCGCGGTGGCCTTTCCGGGGGACGGTGGMGAGCCCAACTGTTTGCTCACCAAGCTCCCCGTGGGCGGCGGCGGCGCGGCCGTAAAGGACTTTTCGCGGGCTACCTWYAGRTCCATTGGGAGCAGCGACGAGGCCCTCGAGGTTTGCAGCTCGGTAGCCATGCACAACAACGATGTGGTCGTCGTGGGCAGCGCCGARCAGGGCAGCACACTCGCGTCCCCCGACTCTCCGATGGGGGGGTACGCCATGGCCCTCGACAACAAGGAACTCGGGACCATCGACTCGGCGCTTCTCAGCAGTAGAACCCGGTACCCCACCAATGTGCTGAGCGATGGAGAGAACCTCTATATTTTGGCGCTCACGCCCACGGACGACGAGTTTTCGAGGGAGTACAAGGAGGTCCTGGAGGTCTCCAAAACCAACAAGCTGTACTCTCCCGACTGGATGAACATGCAGAAATACGGAACGAGCCTCAACATGGCCATCACCAAGCTCTCCCTCCGGCAGGAACTCGTAGACGGGGTCCCGATCGCCGGGACYACCTTTGCAAGGGCGTGGTCGAAAAACTTCCCCATCCGGGCCGACGAGAAGGGGCTCTTACCCCGCGTCGCCCTGGCTGGAGCCGTCATAAAGAAGGACCGGGGCTTTTTGGCCGTTGCCGGAAGCACCCGGGGGACTGGATACGCCTACGGGCCGAAGGAAGGAGACGACGARGACGGATTCCTTGCCCTAATCAGCCTGCAAACCGGGGACCTCGCAACTTCCGAGATCCGGAACACGATCCGCGAGGGCACGGCGGAATACGACGACGTGCTCGGAATCTGCGACGATCCCGCAGACGACGGTAGCCTGTACCTGGTTGGAACCACGRAGGGGTCCATGGCCAGTTCCACCCAGGGAAGTATCACTATCCCGGCTGGGTCTCTCCAGGCCTACATACGCAAGGTCTCGACCAAGAACCTCGCGACTTCCTCCTGGACGGTCCAGCTGGGGGCCGTCCGGAAGGACTCGGATTTGGGGGAAGACAATGCCGACGACGACGGGGTGTTTACGATCCCTACTACCGCCAAGGCCATTGATTGCGTCGTGTCCGGGGACAACTTTTACGTTGCGGGAATCGTCGACGACAATGCCAGGATGGTCAAGGACGATCTGCCGCGATTGACCCGTGGCGGTGACGACGTMTGGGTGGCACAGATTCATGCCCAAACGTAAGTGACACAAAACGAATAGAATCGATGCATACATCGATCCACCAGTCGTTCTGAATAGGTCGAAGAAAAATYCACTGGTGTGGTACTTCTATTTCTCTGAATGTTTTTTATTCCGGATGCTGTAACTCATTTTCTTTTGGTTCTCTTTTCAAACGCAACAACCACAAAATAGTGGCAAATTGGGATGGTTGCGACAGGTCGGCTCTCCCGGCAACGATCACCTTGCTCCCCACGGTGCTCTAGCTCTGACGGAGGAAGGAAACATTCTCGTGTACGGCGATACGAACAGCAGGTTTCACAGAGATCGCCCAGAAGACGACGACAAACTGACCGAAACTTTCCTTATGGAATTCGGTCCCAGCGGAAGGCACAAGTCGCACGTGCGGCACTACAAACAGCCAAGAACGGACCCCCCYGCTGCCGAGGAAAACCCCGTGCCGATCGACATTGTCAATGCCGGAAAATTCGATGGCAAGGGTCTTTCGATGGGGGGCATCATAGGCATCACTGTATCGTTGTTGATCGTGCTGTCGGGCCTCGCGTACTATTTTCTCCACGCGGGGCTCGTGGTCCGACGATCGGCGATTCTCCGCAACCAGGTTGAGGACATGGTCGAGGATCTTGACGGCGTCGTCTCGACTGACAAGAGTGGCACCTACAGCGACGCGTGGTCTGCCTTGTCGGAAAGCGAGGTCCCTTCGGAGTATGACGACGACGCTGGCAACACGGACCTAAACCAAACAGGATACGAATCGAAGGAAATTGTTTAGAGATATGTTTGGTGTTGCAGTACTGGAGTTCGATAGATCCGGATGATATTACTGAGTATATATTACAATAGAATGTACAGTACAATATATCGTGTTCTATTTCGTTCTGAACTACTTGTATGCAAACGTCTGCTTTTCTGGTGGAATGGCATTGAATTGAAGAATCGGGAGACACCAAAAAGAAAATCAAATAMCAACAATGATACAATCAAAATCAACACGCTTAAGTTGTTGTACGTCGAGTTAATCTATTTGAAACTTTACTGCGGTTGGTCAGCCCCGCGTTTCCTCCCCGCTACCTTTTTTCATGTCGCTCACAATGGTTTCATTCTCACACACTAACTGAACAGCAAGAACAAAATTGCCATTCAGATGTCGGAATTGCCACATTCTTCATGAAGATGGAAAACAGCAATCGATTCAAAAAGTGATGGACAACTCAAACGGATGCTCTCCTAGTAGTTTCTTGGATTTCCGATTCCATAACACGAGTCCGAACCGCTCACTTTACTCACTGTGTGTTGCATCCCCCTATCCCAGCACCAGCCAAGTAAATCGTAGATTTTGAGAATCTCCCAYTCCATGTGCCCAAGCAGAGGAGGAGGGTGTTGTTTCCTCCCCTTGTTGTTTTGGTCATTGGCGTCGTCAGCATCCAAGATTTCTTGTTCTTCTTCAAATTTCTTATAAGCCYTCAGCCGGTTTACTATGCTCCACATTTTTCCGGTATCCATCAAAACGTCAGGATTGACAAGCAAGACTTCTGCCGATTCCGCTTCTGGAGCGGCAAGCACAGAACCCACCCAAGCATCCAACCAGTCCCATTCATGGAGAGTTGCTCTCCAGGCTTTGCTTGATACAGTAGAGGATCGGTTCGAGAATTGAGTGAAAATCRTTACACTGTTCGGTGGATCGTTTGCTAGGAAAAGACCAGTGTTGAACACAGATTCAAACGGCCAATCACTGTCCCCCCTGTCCTTTCTCCACGCCTTCGGATTGCTCAAAAAATTGGTCTCCCGGAAATCGACCATACCACTGACTTTAGAGTAGTCCATGATGCTCCATGCAAAATAGGTTCCCGCATCCATATCGGAATTGAAAATCTGGGGCAGAACCAGGATTCGATCGGTTTTCCGTGCAATGGCAATTAGTATGGCCATTGTCCATTCCATAGTAAAGTGGTCATGGTATCGTTTGTTCTCCACAATCGAATAAAAATTGCTTCGAACGTCAGTGTCCAACCACATAAAACGTCTGTAGTCTTTGCCTTCTCGATCATAATATCCAGCAGCCACGGTRTCATTATTCGTAGTATTGGGCATATATCCATAGGAATCGGAACGTGGATGCGAACGAAAGCCATAAAAGACCCCGAGTTCTTTCGCAACCATTTTTTTTCCGTGTGGCATTTGCAACGGCAGGCTGTTGAGAGTATGGATGGCTAGCGTCTTTTGGCCTGGCATGGGTCGCTCGTCGGCAACGACCTCATGGGGAGAGAATAGCATTGCCTTAAAKGGATTTTCGATCTCCGGGGTTTCCGGTGGGCCGTCTGGCTGAAACCTTCCGCCGAATTTATAGGGTCGGCCTTCGTAGATGTGATGAAAAAGGCGAAAGACTTCGGCCAGAACCCACTGATCATGAGTTTCTGGTTTTGCTTTCAAGGCATCTAGGCACACACGAAAATATTCTTCAGAATATTTATCCGCCTTCACAGCGTACACTCCGATGTTGGGTGCTGTTGGATTGTTCTGGTGTCCCGAGAAATAAATGTGAGGCGCGTCTTTCTGCTTTTCCTTATGCTTGTTTTGAAAATCCACCAGATGCGGTTTGGGAGAGCGGATCCACCAGACATCCATTTCTGTAAACAAATAGTCGTATCCACGTTTCACGAGCTCGTGGGATAGAGTGACCTTTGTGTTGGCAACAGCATCTTTCAGGTTGCCCTCATCGGCTTTCCACCATACAACGGGGTATCCGTATCGACATGCCAACTCAACAGAAACTTGATCGATGGCAACTAGGAAGAAGTGCTTGGGAGAAAAGCCTACTGTCTCGTCCATCATTTGGAACACCTCGTGGAGCATGTCCTGAATGTAACTGTAATCGGATATAGTGAATGCGATCATGTTTGTGTCCGGTTCGCGAACGATAATGGGAGAATTTTYCGAGAAAAGAACATCGAGTTGCTCAATTGTGCTTTTGTTTTGATTGAGTGCGACATCGAGACAAAATTTATACTCGTTTTCTGGGACTGTAGGCGGATACAAGTAGTTTCGTTCTTCGATCGGGTTTGCATTTTCCTTCTTTTCGGCTCCAAATAAGTTCCTCTTTTCCACGTTTTTGATCCAATCTGTGGGAACCCGATCGATTCTTTCAACCGACCATTCGCCCATATTGGATTTTGGTGATTCCAATTCAATTTGATCTCTCAAGGAAGAGGAGAATGGGTACGGCAAATATTTTTTCTCTCTTTGCGCTTTCGTGAAACAATCCAAGTTGTAAGAAGAGCAATCCGTTGCAAGCCTCCAGTGCGGGAGTGGGTGTTTCGTTTCATGCTGCTGCATTCTGTTCCGCAGGCGTTGTTGTTGTTGTTGTTGTTGTTGTTGTTGTTGTTGTTGTTGTTGTTGTTGCTGTTGTTGCTGTTGTTGCTGCTGTTGCTGTTCTGCTTCTTGCTGCTGCGTTTGACTGGAGTGTACTTCATTGTTGTCCTCGAGAGTAGCGTGTTCCTCCATGTTATCTTCGAACTGCAGTTGAATACTTTCCATCGATGGCTTGACAGAGCAAGTCGAGAAAAGAATTCCATGAGCCAAAATTGAAATCAGCAATAATAGGACGCCGATGTTACCTGGTCTCTTCGCGGTGCTCGAACGTATRGTTGTTKCTGTCATCTTTCTAAACAATTTCTTTGATTSAATCTATCCATTAATCCATGAAAACACATTAGGAGACAATAGACCTCTTCAGAAGGTATTGACGAAAATGAATGTACTGCATCAAACTGTAATTGCGGCATTTTTTTGTGGTTTTGATTTCTGAGAAGTCATCCACAAATCCCCACCGTACCCGTAGGTACTACCGTACGATCCGGTTAACGAAGCAAGGTACGTACGTACGTACGTACGAGCAACTCGTCTTCGTAGTATTTACGTACAGGATGTACGATAGTATTTCGTACCAGGTAATTGCAATGTATTTAAGATTCCTGAATTTGAATTTGAATTGTCAAAAACGAGTKGGGCGATGTTGTTCTTACTCTTCGTAGCTTTCCCACTTTCGATTTAAAAATAAGAGAGCAACGACACGTACGATACAACCTACCGTGGGGATTAAGACTTTAATGCATATTTTATTTTTGCAACAGTAKGAAATCATGTACTACCTCCGTACAGATATTTGTACACTTTGCACCACCTCTTCAGTTGAAATAAGCTTAATATTTGGGTGATTGGATTGGTTCTGTTTTTGTTCAACAGATCTATTATRAATTTATACAAGTATATAGATCGTATCAATTGAAAGTGTCTGACATACTTGTGGTATTTACTTACTAAAGAGGGCCATTTTTTCTTATCAATATGAAAATACCGTCAGTTGGGGGTGGGTTCTAGTACTGGTGGTCACTTAAAGACCGGACCGGTTTCTATAGAAAGCTAAGAGTGACACATTTTTGAGGCTGTAATTCTCTTCAGTGTCAAGAACTTTCTTGTATTTGTCATTCTTGTTCGAAAGAGGTGCACCGTACCATTGTTGTCATTTAATTGTTTCACCTGTTAATACTACTACTASTAGTACTAGTAGACTGTTTATTTCATTTGCAAAAATACTAATTTTATTCACCTGCATGATCATTTTTATCTACAGTAGTGATTCTATGTGTTGTACACTTAAGTAGTACTGAACAATTATTACTGGACAAATTGAGTACTGCAAAGTGTACAATTATATCTGGACACCAGAGGTAGTACAAGTTTGTTATCATGTACGTACACTTTGTCTATCTCCTACTGACAAGAACATAGTAATGAAAAACCCCAACTGATGTGCATCAGTTGAGAAGAAATACTCACATAATTTTCAACAAGTCAATTTCCAAAGAATTTCYACAGGAAAAACACAAGACACAAAGGTAATTCTTGGCAAAYGACAATCATCATGGTGACACCAACACTGATCAGCATCTTCTTCTTCTCAGCTAGTACTATTACCAGTATTAGTAAACTTCTTGCCCCTCTTGTTGAGGAAAGCACCAAGCAAAAAAAGCAGTCACAGTTAACAAACACAGCATACTACTTGAATGCTTTTTTTCAATTGAATTAGGGGGGGGGGGGCACACACCACCAGGAAAGATCAACAAATAACTACTACGGCGATGATGGATCAGACAGCAGCAGCAGTTGGGACAGCATCAGCAACAGTGGTGGTAGTAGGGGGACCACCACTAAGCAACACATTCAATCCAAGCAAATGCCTTTCTTGTTAAGTCAAAGCAAGAATGCTTTGAAGAAATGCATCCAAGAACCAACCCGTTGAAGAAATGCATCTAAGCAACGTGTYGAAGCAACGTGTCCAAACAATGCATTGATGTTGAAATGTCGTGTCCAAGCAACCCATAGAAGCATTGTGTCAAAGCAATGCTTCCAAGCAACTTGTCCAAGCAGCACATTGRCTTCRAAACACATCCAAGCACCAGMAATACATTGACATCAAATCCCATCCAAGCAACCATTCTTGAGTGGAAAATTATGCAGCAATCAACCACCAGCTATCTTAACTGTGTATGTTCACCTTCCCTCTCATGCTTGGCAAGAGCCTTCAGGATAGTACTTGTTACAGTCTTCTCCTGCCTGTACACACTGTACTACTATACTGTGTGGACGATTACATTGTGAGCACTGTCTGCTCTATTCTTCAACCACACTCTTTCAACAMAAAACCAAGAGGGTTTCCTCCTGCAGTACAGAAATTTGTTTTCCTTTGAGTTCCTTTCAGCTGCTGTCAAGTTCTTTGCTGGTYTGTTTCCAGCAAATCCAGACTCCCATTTATTCCAAATAACAAAGAGCAAGTGTGAAGGATTCTTCTGCAGGATTGCTTGTTGGTCCTGTTCAACACCACCAGCAGTAGCTTCTCCTCCTGGATAAACAAGAAGACGTTGCCTCACCATCCTTCTTGCTCCTGTTGCCATGGCAGCTCTATTGCAAGCACCTTGAAGACTYTTGTTTCTATCCCTTTGTAGTAATGCAAATTCTGTATTCAGCAGATTCTATATATTTACATCCTCCTCCCTTGGAGATTGCACATCTTTGCATGCATTACATTCATCTATTGTTGATGAGATCTCCTCATTCCAATTGCAATGTTTCTGCCTTTCTGCCACTAAAGGGACTATTCCCAACAGCAGCTCCAGCTTGTTCATCTAGCTTTGGTTCATAGAGCTCATCAAAATCTATTTTCCCACCTGCTTCACTTGYAATCCTTTCAACTTTGCAAATAGGATTGCACCATCATCAACAGCAATACCAGCACCGTCAWTTGCATGCACTACTATGGTGRTATTGAGCTGAATAGGTGAAGCCATCAMATTCTTCCTTCTGCTGATATCATCTGGAACAACACCAACTATAGAAGGTTCAAAGCATGCCCACAGTAATGCCTTTCCTAGAATGAMAGSAACCTCATTGCAAAATGCACTGGCAAAATTAGGAGTAACATTTTCAACAATCCAKTTATGAGTAACCCCAGACCCTTCCACCACCTTGTACAAACAAACACCACCATAACACAAACAGTTTGCAACATTGATATCTAGCCAAAGCAATTGCATATCAGTGTGGAAACGGCAGTCTAGTTAACATCATCCTTCTTGGCCATTCCTGCATGCCTACAAAGTGAAACAATTTCATTAGTGACCTCACATCTGTATCCTTCAGTGAAAAGCCACTGGTGACTTATTRCTCCATGTCCATCATAGCACCATTTCTCCAAGAAGAGCATGTACTGCACATGAATTTTGATTCATGRATCAATGAGAATGCAATTTTAGTTGCAACAAGCAGCTACTGTACCGGTATGTGGTTGAAAAATTTGAACTTCTCTCAATTTTTTTAATTTTCTAGTACCTAGAAAATGCCTGCACACAGTGCTAAATTACTGTACTACTAAAAATACCAAATGCCAAATTATCCTACTTTTTAATGTTGTGTATCTCTGCAACTAAATATCAGAAAAAACCTAGTGTTTGGCAGGATAATCTTTTCAATCAAATGATTGTGCTTGTCATACTGGGTTCTATTGAGGATTATTTGAAATCATTTTTTATTACATTTTCAGTAGTTGCAAGCCTAAACAAGAAGTCACCAGCACTACAACTGCTACTATTATTCAGCCTACTAGCTAGAAGTACTAGCACTCCCTGGTGTTGGCATCTTTTAAGTT